ATTCTTCTTCTTCTTCTTCTTCCACTTTCTTCTTCTTCTTCTTCTTCCACTTTCTTCTTCTTCTTCTTCTTCTTCTTCCACTTTCTTCTTCTTCTTCTTCTTCTTCTTCTTCTACTTTCTTCTTCTTCTTCTTCTTCTTCTTCTTCCACTTTCTTCTTCTTCTTCTTCTTCTTCTTCTTCCACTTTCTTCTTCTTCTTCTTCTTCTTTTTCTTCTTCTTCTTCTTCCATCTTCTTCTTCTTCTTCCATCTTCTTCTTCTTCTTCTTCTTCTTCTTCTTCTTCTTCTTCTTTCTTAATCTTTTTCCGTTTTCCGTGTCTCCTTGTCCCGGGCCAATGTACCTATGCCATATCCTCGACCAGATTAAGCAAGGGGCGGACGTGCCGCATCAATCATGGGGGGCCGGGGAAAAAAGTGAGGGATAGAGATTTCGAAATGCTAGCGCACTTAGATGACTTTGGGTCCAAGTTTGGGAGGATGCACGGAGCTCACCCGTCCTCCTCCGAGAGTCCTTACCTCCTCGCGTCGCGGTTCGAACTTAGCAGGAAGACGGCAAAAACAGAGTGAAACAGACGCCTCCAGGTGCAGTGGTGGTTTGACTGAGGGTGCACGATCCGGGACACTGAAAAAAAAGTAGCGAGGGTTTGACTCAGTTGACTGAATGGCCTCGCTGGACTAGGTGTGCAGCAGCTGGCAGCGGCAGCTGCAGCTTCCCGCCCTCGGTACTCGAACAGGGAAGTGAACAGCACTGTTACAGCGGAGTACTCAAAACAGGAAAGCGAAAAGACAGTGAAGGGGAAAAAAAAAAAAAAAAAAAAAAAAGACAGTGAAGGCTGCTTGTGTCATCTTGAGGAGGAGTCAACTCGTGTTGCAGTCTGTCCCCGAACACAACGCACCCTTAATATGACTGTAGGACGACAGAAAGGTAGGTCCTGTACATTCATGATCAGGGTGCGTTATGGTCCTGTACATTCATGATCAGGGTGCGTTATGTGTATGACTGTAGGAGGACAGAAAGATAGATCCTGTACATTCATGATCAGGGTGCGTTATGTTCGGGGGAATATGGGAAGCTCGGATGAATAAGGCTGCTCGTATTTTCTGCACAAGGTGTTTTTTTTTTTTTTTTTATTTATTTATTTATTTTTTAATAAATGCTAATTCGTTAAGCCCAACCAATTCAAATACCTGTCGAATGTGAAAAAACAAAAAAACCCTGTCGAATCTGGACAGGACGGACTTTCGGGCCTTTTTTTTGTTTTTGTTTTTTTTTTGTCATTATAGTATTACGGGGAACCCCGTAGCAGCCACATCCGTGCTCAAGCCTCCAACGGGGGAACATGCGGGAGCTGCACCCACCAGCCCCTGATCGGATGTTTCACAAAAAAAGAAAAAAAGAAAAAAAAAAAGAAGAAAAAAAAAAAGCAAAAAAGGATGGCAACACGCCCTGCACCTCGAATCTGTTCCCAGCTTCTGAATCTGGACGTGTCTTATTGCATAGATGCAAAACGAGATCAATCACGATTTTGTGCACCCGTCCCCTACACTTCCAGATTCAGGTGCTGGATCCGATGGTGTTTGCTAGCGGGAACTCGTTCTCGCCGTTGCTGTGACAAGTTGTTGTTCGGTTTCCGCAGAGGACTGGTTTTACTCCAAAACAAAACAAAACAAAACAAAACAAAACAGAAATGGGTTGGTTTATTCGGTTTTTTTTTTTTTTTTTTTTTTTTTCCATTAGACAATCAATCATTGACACGAGGCCGGGGACCTCACAATTTTTATTATTATTTATTTTTTAAGTTAGGGGCCTCAGCCTGTCTTTTTTTTTTTTTTTTTTTTTTTTGAACTCGTCAGCCTGTTTGACTTACGAGCAACCGCTGCTCGGTATACCATTGGACACAAACGTATCAGTGCGTCCAGACATCAACATAAACTACCCTTCCCACCCTCTCCTACTACTGCCCTGTTGCTGTACTTAGACTGAAAGCTACCCCAAATACAGCTATAATGACCGTACTGCTGAAGAAGGTAGCCTACCCACCTCTTCCTATCCTAGGACTCACAGGCCAACGCACGGTCATTGATTTTTGGTTGAGACAAGGCGTGCGAGGAGTTCTAACAAGGAGCAAGAGGAAGGAAGCTAAGATGATGAAAGGAAAAAAGCAGGAGGGACGCTGGTCCTAGTTTCCAGTTGATAGAATTGGGTTGAATAGAATAGCTTAGCTGAAAGGTTGAGCTTGAGTTTATAAGCGAAACTGGCTGAGGCTGCCAGGACATTTCCGGGTTGAATTGTGAGGTCCCCGGCCTCGTCCCATGATTTTTGCAATCAACGATATTGCTTTCCAAAAAAAAAAAAAAAAAAAAAAAAAAAAAAAAGCAGGAGGGTTGGCGGGTGATTGACTTTCAAGATATCTTTAGCTTTGTGGAGTTTGACTTGGATAAAACGTTCGTGCCAGTGGGTGGGAAAATTCTGAGGCAAACGGTGGGCGTACCCATAGTAGGTGGGAAAATTCTGAGGCAAACGGTGGGCATACCTATGGGTACGCCGTCTAGTCCTGGGATCTCCTGCATGTTGTGTGTCCACTCTGAGTTCACCTTCCTCCTATCTTTGGGGACTGATAGATCCTTAGTACATGGGATTTGTCTGATAGATGATGTTTCGATTTTCATAGATGATGTTTCGATTTTCATAAAGTTGAGAAAAGGAGATGACATTGTGGAGAGTGAAAAGAAGGCCTGGGGTTTGCTCAACTTTGCTGGAGAATTTTGAGCAGTCGTATGATGCTGATCTCTCCTTGGAGTGTACCAGTCAAGCAGACCAT